CTGCTTGTCCCTAATTTCCTTACGTCCTTCTTCATTCCCGTGCTGTAATTTTTGGTAATTCCCTGTGCCCAGGTGTCCAGTTCCTGGCTGCGTTGGGCTCGGACACATCAGCGGCAAATACGCCTCTCACCGGAGCGCGTCGGGGTGCCCTCTCGCAGCGCGCAGGCAGAAGGAGGGATCGCTCAATGGCTCCTCGTTTTCCTGGAAGTCATTGAAGAATGAAGGCCCTACCTGCCCTACCCCGGGCTGCGACGGCTCCGGCCACGCCAATGGAAGCTTCCTCACTCACAGAAGGTAAATCAGAGGGTTGAAATCATCGTGAGCGTGACAGCGTTGCTGTAGACTAACCTACCTGCCTGCAGATGCTGCTTGAGCATCATTCAGCTCTTCATGCAAGGCTCGAGAGCTGGTGTTTTTAATGCTGACCTCAGATTGCTCCAAGGTTGAAGCTTCCTACGTGGAAGAAAACGTGTAATTGTTTTAATATCGCAATAGTTAGATGTGGATTGGGCAACATCCTGAAAAGTCCTTCCATGAGCAAGCCAGAACAGGACTTTAGTGCCCAAAACAAGGCTTTGATGCCCAAACCAGCGAGGCTTGTCTCACCTTCCTCACCTGTCATGCCCTCTCTGTTAGGATACAATGTGTTTTTGAATCTTTGTTCAGAGAAAATTGCTCTCGCTTTATAAATGGGGAGTTTTGTGGCATTATTCATAAAGCAATTTCCTCTGTACCATAAAAAGCTTTTAGAAGAACTGTCTCGCAGCGGGAACTCCACCAAATGGTATGTGTTCTTGTTGGGAACATAAGCACCTATAAATACCGAGAGTTTATGAAATCCATTTTTACTTGCTTTTCAGTTTGTCAGGGTGTCCAAGAGCTACTTTTGCTGGGAAGAAAGGAAAACTCTCAGGGGATGAAATTCTCAACACAAAGTTCAAGACCAGCGATGGTAAGGACTTTCACTCCTTTTGCCTTGCAGGTGTGTCAGGGTATCGAGCCCGTATATCATCTTCTTTGCAACTGAAAGCTGGCCACAGATTTGCAAGCTTATCATGTGCTATGAACATCCATTTCTTGGCTTGCTTGGGTATTGGGGGTGGCATGGTACCAGCACTGCTCCCTGAGTGACACACTAGGAGGGAGCAGGTGAAATGATAAAGAAGGAGTTTCCATAGTGAAATTCCAGGCGAAAAGAATTAATGCTGAAATCGAGATATTTTTTCAAATGTTCACTGGCATTTTCACAAGTCCCTTGCAGTGGTTCAGTGATTTTTCAGCTATTCACGGCTTTTAATCCCACAGATATTTCTGGATCTGGAATTTTGTTAGCGATGGCACTTTACATTTCCAGCACAATTACTGAGGTTTCCACGGTATTTGACAAGGTTCAGGCATTTAACTTGTATCCTTATATAGTTTGGAATCTATAAATACCTGCACTCTTCTAGAAACGTTGCTTTATTTTATGAACCTCATCATTTCTAATCAAGGCGTGCATTAGTTTTTTAAATGGCATCTTCCCAAACTCAGGGCTGGACAGAGTGACCTGAGTTTTCAGGGCAATCAACCTTGCAGGGTGCGTGGAGGTGCTGGACTCCAACCGCTGCGCTGTCGTTGGCTTCTGCATTTACATATTGACCTATAAAGTATCATTGAACTGTGATGCTAAAAACCTTATTAAAAAAAATATTAATAAAAAAAAGCAGGTGAGATGTGCATCCCGTTTAGAGGATGTAGAAGCAAAGACGAGGACTTTGTGAGCAGTGATGTCTACACAACAGGATGGGCTCAGCAGAAAGCCCAATGGTTTTGATTTTCCCACGAGCGTTTGCTGACTGCCCGCGACCTTCCCTCCTGCAGTTCTGGAGAACGACGAAGAGATCAAGCAGCTGAACAAGGAGATCAGTGAGCTGAACGAGTCCAACTCGGAGATGGAAGCAGCCATGGTGAAACTGCAGTCGCAGGTTTGTGTGCTTGGATGTGCGTCCAAGCCCTTGGATTCGTGGCCAAGCCCCTTGCGTGGGCGGTGGTGGGTGCCGTGGCGTGAGGGCTGGTAACCCTGCCCTGCTCTTTGCTCTGCAGATCTCCACCATGGAGAAGAACCTGAAGAACATTGAGGAGGAAAATAAAATCATAGAGGAGCAAAACGAAGCCCTGTTCCTGGAGCTCTCAGGGTTGAGCCAGGCTCTAATCCAAAGTCTTGCCAATATCCGCCTTCCGCACATGGTAAGAAACTTGGACAGCGCTCGCCCCACCCGGCGTGACCAAGGGAGCCGTGCCAAACCCCACTCACGATGAGGCTTATGTACAATTAAAGAGTGGGAGAATTTCTTTACCCACACCTACGTGTCCTTTATAAGATCAGTCCTTTCTCCTTATCTCTGAAGCGTGCATTACATCTCCCTTTTGTTGTCATTTTCTGCCCATCTCCCTTTGTATCTATTGTTCTGCCTCATTACGTCTGGGAGCATTATCACAAAATAGGAAACTTTATCAAGGGCACCCAGTGCCTTTTAGGCTAAGACAGCACAAGCAGAGATCAGGAGGGATTGGATTTCAACGTCAGAAAGATCTTACAGCTCCTATTATAATGCAGGTAGTTTCAATTCAGTTTTGAATAGCTGGCAGCCAAAGAATAGCATTCTTAAAGAGAGTGTATTTTGTTTAATTTAACAAGGTCTAACAGCCCACAGCATGTTACCATAGAGTTACTGCAAAATGAAAAGACTGCATTAAAATAGTAAAACCACAAAAGGCTATTAATTACCTTCTCTCTATTCCCAGGAATGTAATTAGTGTTGTCAAAACCAGGTGTGGGGCGGGGGGGGCTCGTGTTGTTGTGGAAGCTGTCCTCGTACAACTCATAAAGACCATCACCAGGATCAGAGGAATGAGCTTTGGGATTATTTTTTTCTGCCATCTTCTGGGGTTTTTTTTTAGGAAACCTTTTCATTGGGGTTTGTATTTAAATTCAGGCTGGTTGGAGAGAAGCCATCCTCCAGCAGAGCAGTTTTGGATAACGTTCACCCAGCTGCCTAACTGGCAGAAAACCGCTCGCTGAGTGCTTTTCTGTAAAGTATTTGACACATAAAGGTCAAATAAACTGTTCAGCAAATATTTTTTCAAGGTTTCAGGCAACTCCAATTAAATAATGCCCACGAGACTTACATGCTCATTTTATTCCTGTTCTTTCTCTTCCTTCGTCCTTTATTTTTTCCCCGTTAACTCCGAGTTAGATATTTGCGAGGTTCCCACGATGGCCCTCAAAAGCAAAAGCTGTACGGTGCAGCGTGCTGGCATGGGCAGAGGCGAGGCCAAGGTGACCAGGCTCCTGTCCCAACTTTGCCTTTCATTCCCTCCGTGATGCTTCAGCACTCCCTGCCTCCTCTCGTCCTCCAGCCCTTCACTTCCATGGCTTAATTCACCCTTGAGCCTGTCAAACTGCCTGCACACACTTAACCTGATGCTGTTAATAGTTGCACGAGGCCAACGCATAAAATTAAGGACCTAGTTAAGACCTGGCAGGATCAGGAGTTGCACAATGAGACTTCTGTACCTACAGCACCACGCACAAAAAGGCTCCGACGTGGAGACCTTTGGCTGTTGGTACATAGAATCACAGACTGGTTTGGGTTGGAAGGGACCTCAAAGATCATCTAGTTCCAACCCCCCTGCCATGGACAGGGAAACCCTCCACTACACCAGGTTGCTCAAAGCCTCATCCAACCTGGCCTTGGATGATTAATTAAAAAATACAGATGATTAATTGCAAAGAAACATCTCAGCCTCTTCTTGCTCTACTCCTAACACTTTTATTTGCCTTTTTTTTGGGCTGCAGGAGCCAATTAGTGAGCAGAACTTTGATGCGTACGTGAACACGCTGACCGACATGTACACCAACCAGGAGTGCTACCAGAACCCGGAGAACAAGGACCTGCTGGAGAGCATCAAGCAAGCCGTCAAGGGCATCCAGGTCTAGTGCCGCGGGATGGAGATGAGCAAGCGAACGGACTGTAAGATGGAACTTTCCCTCCAAGTATTCAGGTTTACAAGTTAGAAAACTTGTTTAATGAATGAAAAAAAAAAAAAAAGGACCAAAATGTAACCAAGAGGCCATTTCTGAGACGTGGAACTGATCGAACTCAATGTTCTCATTTACTTAACTTTGGACCTTCTCGAGAAAAGTAGGATTTTTCTACCCGGACCACGAGGTAGGTCAGGATGGAAGGTTAAATTCTCCAGAAGGCTGTGGGGCTCGATAGCTGGTGAAGAGCAGGCGTCTTTCCTGAGTTGCCATGCTCTTGCAGAGTTGATCCAAGGGTTAAAACATTGCAAGAACAGGGTCTTGTCTGATCCAAGACTAGCGTAAGACTGGCTTAAACCCTCATGTTGTCTATGGTCCTATGTCCAGACCACCTACTCACACATGAGTTATGTTCTGTGTTGCTACAAGTGCTGGAGCTGCAAGCTACCTGTAAATCTGAACCTGTGCTGGGCCTCCCAACCCCGAGGTGTTCAGATATCCACTGGGCATGGGAACTCTGAAGTATTATAAAGTACCTTATTTTTATTTTCTGAAAGAAATCCGAAGAGCAGTTCTGGATCTCCAGTGGAAAGCGCAATGGAAAAAAGGTTCTCAGGGAAGCTTTTGGAGTTTGCAACTACAGTATTCCTTTGTCTGTCTTAAATATGAGAATAGCTATTATGGATAGGCCAATACCAGATGTTTCATACAGAAGAATTCTTCAATGTGTCATGGTCCGGTGTATATGATTTTTTGGAAGTCTGTTTGATGACAGTTCTGGTTCTTTTCATTATTGTGATCATCCCTACAGTGGCGCAGTACTGCCAGTCCAGAGATCGTACATCAATGCCAGAGAACGTTTGAGATTGCGATGAACAGGAAAAAAAAAAAAAGAAAAAAGAAACAAAAACCAACAAAAAAAGAGAGATGTTAATTGATGGCCAGCAAAGTGCTTACCTACCACGAATAAGCAGTTGATTTCTTACAGGTATCCACAGGGCAATGGGTATTTTTTGGTTTGGTGTTCCACGTATTGCGCAAAATCGCAGCGCAAGCGCCATTCTGAAAAAAAAAAAAATAGGAAAAAAAAAAAAGAGTATTCAGGTATTGGGTATTCTTCTTCCAAAGAAGCATTTTATAAGCAGCTCGGTACACGCAGCCCACTGTGCACTTAAAGAACAACTCCATGAATGTCTTTGCGACGCTGCTCTCCAGCACCCGCCCCACGGCGCGTGGGGCCAGCGGCCACCCCGCGGGTTCGCTCTCCCCCACCCTCGCTCCCATCGGAGCTCGCCGTCTCCCTGCTCCAAACCCTTGGGAAGAGGGGCAAAACCCTCCGAGGGCTCCCAGCGCAGGGCGCAGCTGCATCCCGCAGCCGCATCCCGCAGCGGCATCCCGCATCCCGCAGCGGCATCCCGCATCCCACAGCGGCATCCCACATCCCACAGCTGCATCCCACATCCCGCAGCCGCATCCCTCCCGGCGGCGGCGCGGGCAGAGCTGGGGAGGATTTTGCTGACCCATACTAAAGGCGAGACTGTGGTGTCGTTTCGAGCCCAATCCTGCAGATATTTAGGGTGTAATCCGCGATTCGGAGAAGTCGGTGGAAAAGCTTCCCAGTGACTGTGGTGGCCACTGGATCCGGCCTCGAAGTTCACGAGCGACTCGGCTCGTGTCGGTTCCCCGGTTGAGTTCGACCCACGGGTGGGCTCGCTGCCGGAATTAAGTGTTTGCAGGATCAGACTCCATGAGTTCACTTATTTTAGAACCCATTCCAAGTGCAAAAATACAAAAGAAAGGGGAAAAAAATAAAATGAAATAAATTGAGGTGTTAAAAACACAATGTTCTTAACATGTAAATAGAGTCCAAATTGATTGTGACTGCAATTCAGTTAGTATTTAAAAGTAGAGAAATTGCACTTCCTGGAAGAAAGAGAGGTAAAAAAAAAAAAAAAGTAGTTAGTTTAATTATCCTGTAAATTATTTAATTTTGGCAAGATGTATGTAATTTATATTTACAACACCTTATGTTAACTTTTTGCTATTTATTTAACTTTTTTATTTATTAATTTTATACTTATTTTAAACTGGACACTGCACCATAGAAGAGAAGAGAAAGGAAGCAAAAAAAAAAAAGTTAAAAATTAAAACTTTTGACCATAAAAAAATGATATTCCAAAAAAAAAGAAAAAAAAGAAAAGAAACCCTATCTACAACTCCTACTTGTAATTTTGATGCAACCAAGTTATTTTTTATATATTTTGTTATTTATTCTTTTAACGATGGGAATTTTTTTAAAGATATTTTATAACTGAGACATTTTGATAATTTTTTGGTTTGTTTTTTTGCGGGGGCAGGGGCACCGGGGGGAAGAGAGACTTTTTCAGTTTTTCTTTTCTTTTTCATTCATATTGTTTCAGGCACTGATAACAGGAAATGAAAATTCTGTATTTATTATTTATTTAATATTTAAGCCGGGGGGGGGGCGGGGAAATGAACTGTGCTCTTGTTGTATATTTATTTTGTCGTTTGTGTGTCGGTTACGTGATGACTGAGTACTTGTTTATGTGAAGGAATACTGTTAATATTTAAATAATAAAGAGTCACATTGAAAGTTATAGCAGGCTACATGTTATTCTGTGAAAACAAATACTGTGATCTACTTTCCTCAGGAAATGTATTTTGCAGACAGAACTTCCTTATGTACCGGCAGGGTTATTTCGTAATAAAACCCAGTTCTGTTTGTGACTTTAGTTCCCATGGTCTTTCTTCGAGCTGCTGCCAACGTCCCTGATGGGTTCGTCCCTGCTCGCGCATCGTGGCTCGGAGGGTCGGCGTGTCCCCCCTGCCCACTCCAAAACTGGCTCTCCCCACCTGCTAAACTGGGGGGTTTAGGGGGAATTTAGATTTGGTATCTCTGAAGGCTTCGAAGACTAAGGAGCTGTCACCATCCAACCAAGCAGGTGCCTCAAATCCCACTAGTCCCATGACGGGGAGAACCAAAATCCCAAGGTGGGTATTTATTCAGTCGGTTGCTGGAGCCCCTTTCCCAAGGCTTGTACTTGTCCACAACATTTCCTCCCTTCCATCCGCCCGGCCACGATGGTCACACATTACCTTCCTGGAAGAACGGAGCTTTTCCACTGGCAAAAGTTCACGTTTTGAAGCTGTGGCAACGAAGAGAACTTCTCACTGGTCTCTGCGTTGGAGATGTCATTTCTGAAGTTGCCAAAGTTCAGTTTTGCCGTGCTGCAGCTGTAGCTTCTGAGGTGGAATAAGGTCCATCGTATTAAGGCCATCTGGAGCTGAGCGAGTTGGATCAAATGGGACTTTCAGGTGGGTCCATCACCAAGAAATTCAATTCTCTGATTAACTGAGCTGAGCTTTCCTGACTGTCCCCGCGCAGAGGCACAAGCGCTGCTGGGTTACAGCAGGAGGGGGTGGCCGTACTGCAAAGATGCAAAGGGGAAAAGCAGGGTAAAATGGAGCGAAAAGGGTAAGAACTGCAGCCAGAAAAACTTACAGCAAAGTTCTGGATAGAAAGAAGATTTCTTAAAGCCTTTCCTCAAGCATGTACATGGCCATGGGTGTTCATTGGAAGTTTTTTCTGTCTTAATTGGATGTCTGCAAGCTTTCCTGGGGCAAGACAACTGGCAAAGGCTTAGGACAGGCTTGTGGGGATGGTGGAGGAGAGGACATCCCTCCTGGAGAGGCTGCAGTACTTGTTCTTGCTTCATGCTGGTGGTTTCCCAGGGCCAGTGCAGTGGACAAGAGAGCTGCCAGCTCTGCCACCGGCTCTTCCCTCTCCCCCTCCTTTGCAGAGCATGCAACAGAGATTGCAAGTGCAATTAAACATGCAAGGCAGGGGCTGATGAGAGGGATTAAACTTTGGGCCCGCAGTCTCCTCCAGTTGTGACCAGCAGCAAAATTGGGAGTTACTGGGAGCCACGAAGCGACACAGCCACCATGGAGACACAGTGGATGGTTTGTTTCAGAGCCTTCACACTGACCCTATGTGTGTGGCAATAACAGACCTTCCCTCTGCTCCCACTGCAGCCCCAGCTCCAGGCACAGGAGATGTCCCGGGGCACCAACCCATCCTGCCTCATCTTCACGTTGAGACAAGCCAGAGACTTCCCTGCAGCACTCCTGGCTCTGCTGAAAGTAAGTGCTCCTCTTGCCTCTGCCCGAGCTCTTTCTCCAGGTTCTTCTATCAGCATCTGGCTTTCCTCTCTCTGAGCGGTCAGGTTTAGGACCTGCTCTGGATCCCCTAGCCATGTGGTCCCAAATGTCTGAGCAGAAACACCCTGGGGAGCGAGGACTGCTGGAGACTGAGCCCAGCTTTCCCAGGAGCCGTCCCAGCCTGGGGAGCTGTGGGAGCAGGAGCCCCAAGGACAAGGTCTCTTTGAGGCTTTGCTGGACACAAAGAGGGGCTTTTGTCCCCTCCACGAAGGGCTGGGCATCTTCAAAGGAGAAACACAGGGCGACGCACGCGATGGTTCACCGCAGCCGGCTGGCACGGTGTTTTTCTGAAGGGCACCAAAGTGGTTTTATGGGGGGTTTCGCCAGACGTTGCACCTCGGCGCCGTTCCTTGTGCCAATATTTGATTATGACGACGGAGCTAATAGACGTGCTGGCTTGTCCTTTCTTAACGAACTGGCTGCGCTGCATAATCGAGCGCTTAGGTTTGTGCTAAATTGCAGCTCGGGGAGCCATCACCGTGAGATGTTATCTTCTCTGAACTGGCGTCCTTTATCGCAGGGAAGGGAATTGAATTGGTTTAAGATGGTACACTGTCGGTTTATGGGTATGCTTAGGAGAGCTCTTAAGCCTCCTCCAACACACGTAGGGTGTCTGCTGAACAGCAGAGGAGAGCGGGTCTTTTGCTTCAAGGATGCAAGGGAAAAGATACTTGTCAGCATAAAGTTGTTTCTAAACACCTCGATAAACCATTGGCCAACGAGAGCACCATTTGGCCTCGCTGATGCCGCTGTTAATTGTTAAAAGCTGCTAACGACCCATCCCTCCCTTCTTCTGCTCAAGTGGCACCTTCTGTTTGTCAACAT